AATCACTTATGGAGAACAGGTAGATATTAGCCAAGAATAGTGACTATGTGAGGTGCAGGGCAAATATTCTAAGCAGAGAGAAGAGTATTTGCAATGGTCCAGATGTGAGAGAGCACACTGCGTATTCGAAGAACATTGAAGATAATTCAGTATTGCTGGAGCATAAAGTTTCTCAGAAACTGGGGCATGGTAAAAAACGACGCTGAAATGGTAGGCAGGGATACAACCACGGAGTGTCTGTAGCGCTCATTGCAGTGTAGGGCCGATATGATCAGATTTATGCTGAGAGAATAACTTTGGCTACAGTGTGGACAATGGATGGCAGTGGTCAAAAATGAAGGGAAGATACTTATGTTTCCAGCCACGAGGAATAAATAGGATCTGGAATTATCTTTCTACTATAAACAAAGAGAAAACTGAACAAAATATAGGAAACAACTATTTTTAGATATTGTGCAACACGTAGGACAGGATTGTAATTCCTGAAAAAGGGAAACAGATGATGTCAGCTCCATCACCTTTAAAGTTTTCTGTCTAGAGGTAGTTTTCAGTTCTAGGTGTAGGAAACAGGAACTCAAATAGAGTTCAGCAATCTTTCTGAGTTGAGGAGAAGGAGACCAAAGTTCTAGGAAGCTGAGGCATTTAGAATTTGGGGGGCAGAGAACCGAAGAGGAATTATGCAGAGAAAGAGTTTCAGAAATCTTGATAGAAGTTTCCTTGAGTCTGTGGTTGGATACCAATGCATACATGCATAGCGTACAACCCATGAGGCCAACCAAGAATAAATCTCAAGGAAAGCACTATTACTGGAAAGCCGTGTTACAAATATTTAATAATTGTCATAGCTCAAACAGATATGTGAATGCTCCTAATTCCCTTCAGTCAGAGAGGAGAGACATCATTAAATACTTTTAACAGAGGCCCCCTAGAAGAGTGATGTTTTAGAAATGGGGCTAAATTAGCTCTAGAGTAAAGGTTACTTTATACTTTCTCTAAAAGTATTTAAATATAAGCCTCAAAAGTTTAAACCAATGTATAAATTACTCTCTGCCATAAAATGTCAAACATTCCTAAAAACTATACATAATCTGGTAAACAACATACAATTCAAAATATCCAGCAACTAATAAACAAAAAAGCAGGAAAATGTATGTGACCTATAACCAGGAAAAAATAAGCAAGTAGAAATAGAAATAAGAGAGATAATGGGATTAGCATACAAGGATATAAAAATAATTATTATAATATGCTCCAGAGCATAAGGGAAAACATAAGACATACTGAGGAAAGAAATGGCAGTTATAAAAAATAAAATCATACTGGATTACATGCTTCTATCTTAAGAAGCTAGAAAACAAGAGCAAATTAAGCCTGAAGAAAGTAGAAGAAAGGAACTAGAACTAAAATTGAAAATAGAAAAACAATAGAGAAAACAAATAAAATGAAAAGGTAGTAATTGGAAAAGTTAATAAAACTGTTCAGCTGCTAGCTAAAACTGACTATGATGAGGGAGGGACATCACTATAGATGTTATAGATATTAAAATAATAAGGAAATATTTTGAAAACCAGCATGTCAATAAATGGAAAAATCACTTGAAATATGTAGTTTATCAAAACTGGCTTAAGAGGAAATAAAAAAAAAATTTGAAGAGCCCTATATGCATTAAGGAAATTAAATTAATAATTGAAAACTTAAAACACACACACACAGACACACAACCTCAACCCATGTAGCTTTAATGGTGTATTCCATTCAAATTTAAGAAAGAAATATTATAATACAAATTCTAAACAAACTTATTCCACAAAGAGAGGGAGAGGGAACAATTTACAAACACTTTTTGAGAACAAGTTTGCTTTTCTACCAAAAGCAGACAAAGGTATTACAAAAAAGAGAAAACTAAAGACCAATATACCACGTAAACATGACTGCAAAAATCCCTACAATATATTAGCAAATAAAATCCAACAATGAGTAAAATTATATCATGCTCACTTGGTATAAAAACTCTCAGCAAACTAGGAATAGAAGGGAACTCCTTCTATTATTATCTATTATTATCTTCTATATTATCTATGAAAAATCTACAGTTAACATCATGATTCATTCTGAAAAAACTGATTTCTTACTAAGATTGTGAATAAGGCAAGGATGCCTATTTGCATTGTTTATATTCAACATTATGTTTGAGGTTCTAGTCACTGAGAAAAGGCAAGAAAAGGAAATAAAAAGCTTACACATTCACATGGAAGAAAGAATTATTATTTTTTTTTTCAGAATTAAACATTTTATTTTTGCCATAAGAAGCTCTATGAACTAATGTTAGGCGATGGTTAATGAAAAGTAGAACTTAAAAATCATGACGGAGATTGTACAAGTATGAACACTGCAGTATTGGAGGAAATGAACAAAGTTTCGTATGACTGACAGAGGGCAGGAAGCCAGTGCTGTTGAATTAGCATTTAATTCTTTAGAATATACATGCCTTGACATACAAAATACCTTGATCAATGTTTACCATTTGTTTTACCTTTTTGGTACAATGGAAAAAATGTGCCATCATTCCTTCATAGTGGTTGTTTATGGGGGATCATTACTACCAAGATCATAATAATCATTTAGGGTATATTTTAAGGTTAGCCTTGCAAAATTGCTATGGCATTTTAAAATCTTTGCTTAGTTTGAATGTTTTCATTTTGTCATTTCTTTTAACAAATTATCATTTCAAATAGTTCCTATCCAGAATATTTACAGGTAATTTAGCATAGGAACAAATTTGAAGCCAATTTGAAAGAAAAAAGGAAATTCAATGGCCAGAAAGCTAAGTATAAAATAGAAAAACCCCATGGTAAATATTAAACAGCATCTTGCTACAGATCTCCATTCCAATAAATACCAAGAGTAAAGAGTTTTCACCCCAAAGGAGTATTTCACATGAACTCTAAACTTTGGATATGGAAACTTCTAGAAAAACTGAAGACCCTGAGACACATGCAAGTAAGAGTCTTCTGGCAAAAATACAATTTATTTTTCCAGTTTTCCTCCTCCCAAAAAACTCCAGAAGATACCTTTAATAGGCACAGAGTTTACATTTTATATTCAGAATGTACAGAGCACAGCAGCAGCAAATAATTATATCCATATTATTCAGAATGGATAGTTTTCCATTATAGAATTCCTGGTTTGTCATAATAGGCTTGTAGAAACCACCAAGTTTTATTATGACAAACTAATTTATCTAGCAGTTGAGTCTGGAAAGTCGAAGCGTCTGCTGGCATCATATCATTCACATGGTAGAATTGGTATCTAACTGGTGACGAATAACATTAATGAAACTCAAATTCACTGAGAATTCAGAGTGCACCTTAAAGAGTTTATGTCTCAATATCTACACAGAAAGGAAACAGATATTGTGTGTTCCAGATGTGTCACTTTGTGCTTTGTATTAGTTATAAGGTAATTTAAATTTCCCAAGGGTTTAGTTTTCTATAAATTTGTATAAGGTCTAGTGTGTATAAACAGTTTTGTGTTTATTCCTCCCGGTAAAGCAAAAGATATATTTTTCTGTCCCTTATTGCATATACTGATGCTGATACCTCATGTTAACTGAAGAACACTGAACATTATCTTTCAAATCTGTGTCTTCTTCAGAAGAATGATGGTATACCATGAGAAATTATCATTAAAGTTTAAGTTTTCAAGTCAATGAGCTATTTTTAAAAAATATCTTAGTTAAGGGGAATGTATAATTATGTGTTATTATTAGAATATAGCCTATATAGGTTAATTGACTATTAACTATGCACAACATTCGCTAAATTTTTTCTTTGCTATAAAAAATGATGTGTGGATATTTGTGTCCTGTTCCTTAGTTCTAGCACTTCAGTAAGTTTAACTTATTTCTAAATGTTTAAAAAGTGTCATTTAAAAGTAATAAGGTTATATTGTTTGTTCAAGATAAATGGGAACTGACAAGCCTATATAACATTCCAGATGTAGTTTGTGATTGCTATAATATCGCAGCAATTTGAAGATGGAATAAAACTTATTTTAGAAGGGGTAAAAACCTAAAAGATCTTGTTGAAAGGAAAATACTAGATCACTGATTCAACTATTTCAAATAAAGACTTACTATTGGAGATTCTAAGTAATAATAACATTTAAAAATATATGCCAGTAGCCTCCCACCTAAAATATGTAAAGGTCTCACCTATGAATTCTATCATTTACAAAGATTTATATATAATTAAAGATCAATTTGGTGGCCTTTAGATTCAAAATTTGAAAAATTTTTTAGAAATATTTTTAACCATAAGAAGCAAAAAAGAAATCTCCATGCTATTCCATCTTCTATCACATAAGAGTACAAAATTAAAAATAAGTGCGACAGAATTTTTCATCTCCTGTCTGCATTAGAGATTTGTTTTTCCATTAGTTTTTTGCTCACAGAGACCACTGCAAAGGTATACAGTGGACTAGCCACCAAAGTCTTTTAGACTATGGCAATAAAAGCAAGGATTAATTCTAATTAGCTAAATCTGATTCATTCTTCAGATGAGAGACTTGTCTGCATGGCTATTTTCATGAAAGGAGGGCGGTAGGAGGTGGTTATCCATTTGGACTAGCAGAATACACAACCAAGTGAAGACTTATTCTGAAAATTTCCAGAACAACTTTAGAAGTTCTTGTTTACTTTTTATGCCATATACAAGACACAACACACATTTATAGTCTCAATGTTAAAAAATTGAGAATTCAGCAGTAAAGTGCTAACACGGAAGGGGAAAGTATGCTAGTAACTCCAGTTATTTTCAAAGAACATTCAGACTGCTTCAAATTCTATTCAGAAAACTATCTCTCCAAGCTTATTTTTGTTTGCCTCTTAAATGAGCTGAAAGCTAACTATATAAACAAATACTTGGGTGGGAGGACTTCTCAATCTCTACTCAAAGTTTCAGAAAAATTTGCTTCTAAATATTATCAACAAATAATCCTTCAGATGATGTGGCAGATCAAATTTTCTTACACCTTGTTTTACAGGTCTTCTGAAACCCCTGTCCCTCAATCCAAACCAAAACTTTCTGGTATTTCAAAGGAGTTTAGTAAGATTCTGGTATTATAAATTCAAACTCAGTACTGCCATCTGTTACATTCTGTTTAAAAATCGAATCATTTTCCTGCTGAATAAAAATATCTTCCCAGGTCATTGGTTTGTTCTGAGGAGTAGATGTGGTGGTCCCTACTGGAGGTTCTTTTCCAGCATCAACCTTATATCCAATACCATCATCCTTCATTACAGGCATAGTGCTTGACCTGTCAGAAAGATATGCATATTGTCTGATCTGTAAAGACCTGCATGGATGTAAACGATAAAGCTTCGAGTCCCCAGAAGGATCCTGACTATGAACTGACTTTATATGTGAAGACATAAACTGATAGTTGATGAAGGATTTGCCACAAGCCAAACACTGATACCTTCGCTCCCCTGTGTGATGAATTTCATGCTTTGTACGATATTCTGCAAGAGGAAACACCTTCTCACAGTAACGACACGGATACTTCTTCTCCCAAGAATGAATGTTAAAATGTCTCCGCAAGCTTGTCAGACAGACATATGACCTTTTGCATACAATACAGATATAATAGACCCTTCCATCTACTATTAACTCATAGTGATCATCATGTTTTACTTTCATACGTTTGTTTGCCGTCTCACTGCCAGACGTTTTTGGTGTCTCATTTTCATGTCTGGTCTCCCCTTCATCAGGGTCATTTTTGACAGGGATCACTATGTCATAAGTATCTTCACCGATATTTGCATAAACCTTGCAACCAGTTGACAAGCCTTCAATTTCAGTAGCTGTATCTAAAGTAATGATCTTCTGACCCTCCATCAGATGTTTTGATCCTAAGCCTGGATCATTAGTGTTTCTAGTAATTACATCTGAAATTTTTAAAGAATTGGAAAGTGGTTCTTGCACGAGTGTAGGAATCTGCATTTTCTGTATTAATGATCCATCAAAACTGGTATTTTGGGAGATATCAGCCTGTGGGACCAAAGATGTATTACTGACTGCCGAGTCTGGACTGGAGCTAATAATGTCATCATCATCATCTATAATTTCCTCCTCTTCCTCTTCATTGGTCTTGTTTCCTGTTAAAATAGCACTGTTTGGTGTCTGCTGATTCTGCACAAGTAAATTGATTGAAGATGACATATGATTTGGAGGTGAAGAACTGACATTTGGTGGTGTAGTAAGTGGTGTCTGATTTAACAAAATAATGTTGGGAGTCAGATGTGTTGGAGCCGAAGATACCAGCAATTTTTCATTTCCTTGTGTTTGGCTCAGAGTTGCCTGATTCACAGGAGTAGGAAGTTTCTGAGTAGGTGTGATATTTGTTAAAGGGGGAGAGTTATTGCTAGTGCAAGGTGCAACATCTGAAATATCAACAGGGCCTGGGTTAGGCTGGACCTGTGTCACTGCATTGTTACTTGGCAAAGTCTCCTTTGCAGGCAGAATCTCAGAGCAGAAAATGACATCATCATCATCATCATCATCATCTGAGTCGGTAACAATGATCTTTTTCATTTCATAATCTTCAGCAGATAATGAAAAAGACTCTGTTATAATAGGCATTATAGTAGCCCCATTATCTTGGGCTTCATCTTTTGATTTTTGTATTAAAAGGTTCTTGTCACTAGAATCAGGAGGTAAGGTTTCAGCATTACCATCCTGAGCTGTACCTGAGATGCTTTTAACCTGTGACAATGGGACACCATTGTCTCTGCGATAAATTTCACTCCTAATAACTGCCCTGATTTAATTAACTCATCAAGCAAATCTGATCTAACACGAACAATCTTAGAACTATAGATATAATTGAGAATTTCTGCAAAGATCTCTGCTCTTATAAAGCTCAGTTCAACAACTTGCCCGGCAACTGAGAAGAGTTGATGGAAGTAGGTGCTAGAAGCAGAAAGAATATTCTTATGGGCCCGAAATTTTCGGTCTTCCACAATAACAGTAACATCACAGAAGAGTCCATGGCCGCGTTGCTCATTCAAGGAGTTCAGTAGGCTGCCAGAAAACTGAATGTCTGTAGCAGAAATCAGTTTTCTACTCTCCATGCCTGCTTCCTCCTCCAGCCGCGCGGAAGGGTGGAAGTCCCTCAACAAGAAAAAGCTGCACTCCCCGGCGATTCTGACCCTTCTTTAAATGTCGCTCCAGTCTTGGCAGACGTCGACGCAGCTGCCGCCACCGCTGGTACAGCTGCCCCACGCAGCCAACAGAGGAAGAATTATTTTTTTATTGGTAAATAATGTGATTATGTTTGAAGAAAATCTTATGGAATTTACAAAAAGCTAATGGAACTAATAAATGAGGTTAGCAAAATTACAGAATTATAAGGTCAGTATACAAAAATCAATTGTACTTTTATATACTAGTAATTAACTTGTATAAATTGAAATAAAAAATACCATCTACAATAGCACCAAAAAGTATAAAATAAGTGGGATAAATTTAATGAAATAAGTACAGAGCCTTTGCAATGAAAACTATAAAACATTGCTGAGAGAAATTAAAGTAGATTCAATTAAGTTAAGAGATATACCATGTTCATGGATGGGAAGACTCAGTATCTTTAAAATATTCATTTTCTGCAACGTGTTCTATTCAACACATTCCTAATTTAAACTCTAGCAGATTTTTTTTTTTTTTTTGGTAAAACTTTCAACTTGATTCTAAAACTTTTATGGAATGTCAAAGCTATAAAACTTCTAGAAAAAATATAGAAGAACTTCACAACCTTAGAGTAGGCAAAATTTTTTTAGGACACAAAAAGCTTGAACCATAAAAGAAAAATTGAATAAATTGAACTTATTCTAAATTAAGAACTTATGATTTTTAAAAAACATTGTTAAGAATATAAAAAGTCATACCACTGACTGGAGAAAATCACAATATATATAACTACTGAAGGAATAGTAGTTCCTTCAGTCTGGGACTACATAAAACTAACTAAATAAGTAGTAACAACTCAATTTTTAAAATGAACAATATGTTTGAACAAAACCAAAATAGCTAATAATTCCATAAAAACATGCTCAATATCTTTAGCCATCAAAGAAATGCAAATTTAAACCACTATAATATATCAGTACATACTCCTTAGAATAGCTAAAATTAAAAAGACTGATGGTACCTAGGGCTAGCAAGGGTGTTGGCAAGTAGAACTCTCATACATTGCTGGTGGGAATGTAACATGGTACATCCACTTTGGAAAACAGTTTGTGAGTTTCCTATGAGGTTAAATATACATGTAGCATATCATTCAGCAATCCTACTCCTGGGTATTTACCTAAGGGATATGAAAACCCATGTCTTCACAAAGACTCATACATGAATGTTGGTATAATATTTATTTACAATAGCCCAAAACTGGAAACAACTCTAGTGTCTATCAAGAATGAACAGATAAACAAATTGTGGTCTTTCCACACAATAGATTTACTAAGATGGGGCCTAGTAAGGACGATTTTAAAAAATGTTCTATATCATGATGGTGGTGGTACTTGCACGGAGGTAGAATTTCTCAAAATCTATTGAAATGTACAACTAGGTAGGTGCATTTTATTTTATATAAACTATCTCCTACTAATTAAAAAAAATGAATGAAAAGAACCAGTTAGGGGACACAGTGGCCTCCAGGCTGGAGATGACAGTGGCCTGGACTGGAGGGGTAGCAGAGGAATGGAAAGATGTTGCAAGAAGTAGAGGGATTTGAAAGAGAAAGAATCTTTCACCCTATTTCCTTTTATCTGTACAAACACATCTAATAATTTTTAAAAAATGAAAGTCAGAGAAAGTTTCTGGAGTATTTGATGAGGATGAACAGTAATTTATACAGAAAATAGGGAGTTATGGTGAGTTATAAAGGGATCACTGATGAAATTTCAGAGGCCTATATGGCCATGAAATTGCTAGACAATGTCAGGTAATACCACCCTATATGGATAATGGATAATTATCCACATCTATGATAAACAATGGCATATACATACTTATGTAATCTAGTTACTTTTCTCCACATTCTGGAACTAGGAATTAGTGACTGCCTTCTTCCACCCAAGAATTCCATCTAGAATCTCCTTAAGCGCTCTCCAAATTGTGTATTCTGTGTATTTCCAGAAAGAGGAAAATTGGCTACATATCCTGGAAAATATAGATGGAAACATTTTATAGTAAATATTGAAAGATACAAAATTCATTTCTATTTTGAAAGCAAGGAGGAGAATTATAGAGGAAGTAAAGACTGTACTTAAAATTTTAAAATATATAATTTTTGAAATTATTAAGATTATACTCATTACAGGAAATTTGAAAATAAAGAAAAGCGAAGAGAAGAAATTCAAGTTACTCATAATCCCAATCTTTGTTAACATTTTGTTTTATTTCCTTCTAAACTTTTTTTTCTTCAATGCTTGATCTTACAAAATAGTTGTAATCAGAGTGTCCACACAATTTTATAGCCTATTTTTACCATCAACATTTTAACCTAGCATATCATTCATTCATTTTTTCATTTATATAATCATTTATTCAGCAAAGACTTATTGAAAGGTTGCTATGTATCCAGTATTGATAAAAGCAAGAAAAGACAATTTTTGCCCTCAAGCAGCTTCCACACTAGTAGAAAGAGATATTAAACAATAAACACCAGCAAGAAAATAAATATGTAATTAGAAATTTGCTTCTAAAAAAGAAATAAATAGGGTATTGTGACAGATTAACTGGGGAACACAAATTAGATTGGGAAGTCAGGAAAGGCTGGTTCAAGGAAGGTAATTGAAGTGGGAAAATGGCCAGTTGGCAGTTGGGGAGAGGAACATGGCGGGCAGAGAGCATGGCATGAGGAAAGAGGAGAGTGACGGGAGGTCAGTGAGGCTGCAGCACAAAGTGTGATGGGGAGGGTGGCCTGGGAGGAGACTGAAGTGGCAGGCAAGCATTTGATGGCACAGGGCTTTTGCAGCCAGGCTCAGAAGTTTGCAGTGTATTCTAAGAGTAATGGAGAACCATTGATTGGCTTTAAAATGGGGGACATCTCACTCAATTTATGTTCTTAGAATATTGCCCTGGCTAAGATGGAGGTAAGAGTGGAAAGGAGGGTGTCAGTTAGGAGGCCATTGCAGTCGCCTAGGTGAAGAGTGGGGTGGCTTCAATGAGGCTGGTGGTAGAAGTGAACAGATTAGAGAAATATTTTTCAGGTTGAAATGCAGGTAGAATCATATGAAATTGTTATTTTTATAGGTCAAAGAGGGCACACATTGGCAACTTCACACTCTTCTGTCTAGTCATAGAGCTTAGTGTTGCACTGGATGTGTGGACAAGGAGAAGGGGACTGAGGGATGACTCCACTTTTTGTCTTGAGTAACCTGGCAGATGTAGGGGCCATTAAGGAGGGGAAAATTAGAGAACCAAGTGTGGTGGCCGTGAAGGTCGGTTCCTATCACACATCCGATCCCTCTGCCACTGAGTATCAGAGATGTAGTTTCAGAAATTGACTCCAGTTCTGGGGATCATTAGTGACTAGGCTAAGCCAGTCTTGGTTTTCCCATTTACCTTCCAATGGCTGGTTTAGAATCTCAGGCTTATTTTATCTGTATACGCACTGGGCATTTCCCCTGGCCCTGTGGTGAGTATGCAACCTGAATTGGTTCAGATTGAAAGAAGTTTTATTCTGTTAATGGATCTTTGTTCATAAAATTTTAGAACTTTTCTATGTTTTATAATAAGATGGATTCCCAGAATTAGGAATAATGGGTCAAAGGATGGGAACACTTTAAAGGCTCTTGATATATGTAACTAAATGGCTTTAGAAAATAATGGTTCCAATGAACCCTTATACCAGTAAAGTATGAAAGTGACAATTAAGCCATACACTTTCACAGCATTGATTATCCTCATTAAAAACAATCTTAGTTAATTTCTTTGGCAAAAAATATTATTTCATTTATAATTGACCTTCTTTTATTAATAGTAAGATGGAATACTTTCCCATCAGATTATTTTAAAAACAGTGAACTAAAAGAGCATGAACCCCAAAATGTGAAACATTCTTTTTTGGTACCATCTCAAAGAATGTTTCAGAATATCTTCTGAGAAGACAACTTACATTTACTCATTTGCCTTACCCCACACATTGATATTGAATTATAACTGACATAGTGATAATTTCTACTGCTTTGATTTCCTAGCATAAGGGATAGTTTATAAGACTGTATAAATCAAATCAATATATAAGTCCAGGTTCCAAAACTAACTGTATTCATATCATTTAGAAATTAAAATTATAGTTTATTCCTGATATAAAAATCAATGCCAGACTTACAAGATGGTGCAAGTAAGATTTCGTATTATTGCTCATCTCTTCATATGCACAAATCAGGAGTGTTTTCTTTGCTTTCTATTTAATCTACCAAGTGAAAATGCTTAATGTAATTTGAATTATACTTTTGGAAAAGAGGAATGAGCTACTTTGACTGGACTGTCATTCTATCTTTAATTCTCAAAGTCTTAGGTTGTTTTATTCTTGCTCTTCTTATAAATTTAATAAAATAAAAAGAAACAATTATTAATTAATTAATTCATTTTATTTTTTTTTTATTTTATTTTATTTTTTTTTTTGAGACAGAGTCTCACTTTGTTGTCCAGGCTAGAGTGAGTGCCGTGGCGTCAGCCTAGCTCACAGCAACCTCAAACTCCTGGGCTCGAGTGATCCTCCTGCCTCAGCCTCCCAGGTAGCTGGGACTACAGGCATGCGCCACCATGCCCGGCTAATTTTTTATATATATATCAGTTGGCCAATTAATTTCTTTCTATTTATAGTAGAGACGGGGTCTCGCTCTTGCTCAGGCTGGTTTTGAACTCCTGACCTTGAGCAATCCGCCCGCCTCGGCCTCCCAAGAGCTAGGATTACAGGCGTGAGCCACAGCGCCCGGCCTAATTAATTCATTTTAATACTTTTATTTTTCACAATGAAGAGCCTATCTTCTGAGATATTTATCTTCCATGTTGTTAAGATAATTTTTCTGGAAGAGCCATAGAGCTCTATCTTCCATAATATATCTTGG